ATATATACACATATATATATACACACACACATATATACACATATATATATACACACACATATATACACATATATATATACACACACATATATATATATATATATACACACACATATATATATATATATATACACACACACATACATACATACATACATACATGCATACATACATACATACCCCGGTCCAGGGACCTTTTTGGGTGGAGTTTGCATGTTAGGCTGATTGGCAACTCTAAATTGTGTCTACGTGGCTCTGTGATGGACTTGTGACCCAAAATGGAAGAAGCGGGTAAAGATAATGGATGGATGAAATAAAATACTACTATTCCTACTTTGTGGGTCTTCAGGGAATGGATCCCTTGCGATAAATGAGGGACTAACATCCATCCATATTTGATAAAATTTTTTCTGATCACATTTCATAAATGTTTGACACTATTACTTTCACAATAAATTAGTTTCATTTGCATCAGAAACACAACTCACCGAATATTTTTGAAGATTAAAAACAAGTCTCTGATGAGCATCATCATTATAATCAAATCAAAGTCCTGTTTGTTTTGCAGGATTTACACAGTCAGACATCAAACTGATAATCAGCACCGTTGTTTTTAAATAAAACAAAATGTTTGGGTTATTACTGCCTCAGACAAGAACATTCTTGACATGTTTAAGTTATTAATGATGGGAAATGTTTCAATAAGGCTTCAACAGGATTCCTTGGATCCCTGCTCTAATTGTGCTACAACTCTGAAGGGATAGGAGGAAATTAAGAGGAGGATGAGTTGAAGTGGTACTTTGAAGGAGTGAGGGTGGCTCTTGAACACTTACCAGTGGTGGAGACGTTGACTGATGGACTGGGTTCGCTCAGCAACTCCCCGTGACGAGAGAGCATCCGCAGCTCGTACACGCAGTCCTGGAAACGACATCACGTAAACACACACGGCAGGGAGGACAGGATGAAACCGGCACTTTGTCAACACGTGGCTGCGTCTGCAATGCTAATGAAGTTCATCTGAATTCATGCAGGCTCGAACCACACAGAGGAGGGGAGATGAATGCACGCAGAGTGGAACATTATAATGTGCAGACTTTGGAGTTTATAACGAATAGTATTTAACAGTATGGACTGGCAACACTCAAAAAGTGCAGTTACTAGGTTGTTCTTGTGTTTTTTACCTTCTCCAGACCCTGAACCACCATTTGGCTGCTGTTGGCATTGATGTCTTCATCCAGAACAAACCACTCCCCTTCTCCGGTGCGGGACTGGAGAACAAAGCCCGTGATGGGGGGCTGCTGAGCTTCAGGGAGAGCCCATTGCAGAACAACACCTGCCGAGCCCTGATTAGCAGACAGGGACGCAGGGGGCTTCAGTTTATTTCTCCTCTCTGGAGGATCTGATGGAGAGAAACTCCGAGTGAATCAGTGGGACGCGCTCTGGCGGAAAAATTAAATTAGCGAAGAGGAAATTGCTGCCGACACCAGAGCTGAACTGTGAGGTTTGAATGGAAAGAGGCTTACGTTAGCGCCTCTGAGAATCCAAATGGATTCATTTCTTAGATGTAAAGTTTGCTTTCAAGTTGTTTGGTAAAAAAATGAATAATTAATTGTATTCAGAAATACAATCAAAATTATATTTCTTGCCAAAAGTTGTCTACATCATTTTCCTAACAAATGTGTCAAAGGTATTTTCATCGCTCATCACTGCTGTACAGACAGTTTTTGAAAAGGGGTTATGAACAGATAGTATTTTACCTGTTGCAGAACATGAATGACCTCAACTCCAAGCTTAAGAATCGAGTGATTTGTTCAAACGCCATTTAAATTACGAAGTTAGGATTTCATCAAGGAACGCAGTTCACCCACCGCCTTTAACAATGTTTTATTCACGATGTCGAGAGTTACAGCTATTTTGGTCAAATCTTGAACTTTATGTGCCATTGTGAGATCCGTGAGCAGATTACCATAATTAACAGACTATAAGCCGCTACTTTTTAAACACCATGGATTATATAATGTATGGATTTATTTTGAGGAGTTAACGAGCTTCAAGCCACCAAGACATTTAGCCACGTCACTCTT